TGCTGGATTTCACTGTTTGAGGACATAACTTGTTTTTTTTCCGGTCACTTTTGTTTTTGTGTGTGAGTATTTGTGTGTGTCTGTGTGTGAATATGTTTGAGAGAGAGATACAAAGGTATCGTGTATTGTAAACCATAATACATAAGTTTTTCCTTAAAGTGTTGCGCACCTTATACATCTATAGAACTGCTATTTATTTATTTATTTCCCTATTGGGTCATTGAATTCTATTCTATGCAGCTACATTACTTCTTTTGTTTAGAGAGAGAGAGAGAGAGAGAAAGAGAGAGAGAGAGAGAGAGAGAGAGAGAGAGAGAGAGAAAGAGAGAGAGAGAGAGAGAGAGAGAGAGAGAGAGAGAGATCAAGTCCAACGTTTCTAAAGAGAGAGGGAGTGCGTGTGTATATCTCAGAGAGTGAGAATCACAAAGGAATGCAGTAGTTAAAGCCGTAATACGTATGCTGTGAGTAAAAGTACTACGTAGCTCGTGATTCTACAAGGCACACTGTCATTTCCTTCGTTTTGAGGTTGCTGGATTTCACTCTTTGAACGCACTTCTTTTTTTGCGGTCACTTTTTTTTGTGTGTGTGTATTTGTGTGTGTGTGTGTGTGTCTGTGTGTGAATATGTTTGAGAGAGAGATAGAGAGATAGGTACAAAGGTACCTTTTATTGTAAACCATAATACATAAGTTTCTCCTCAAAGTGTTGTGTACGTTATACATCTATAGAACTGCTATTTATTTATTTATTTCCCTTTTGGGTCATTGGATTCGATTTTATGCAACTACATTACTTCTTTTGTTTCTCTAGAGAGAGAGAGAGAGAGAGAGAGGTACGTCGTGTTTTAAGCCATAATACATTAGTTGTGGTTCAAACTACTACGTATGTTGTACATTTAGAGGACACACACACACACACACACACAAAGAAAGAGAGAGAGAGAGAGAGAGAGAGAGAGAGAGAGAGAGAGAGAGAGAGAGAGAGAGAGTTCATTTTCTTTTTGTGTTGTCTAGGGCAAAAGCACATTGTTTGGATCAGCAACACAGTGGGATTGAATAACCCCCCCGGGTGTGCGGTCGAGGATGAACCTTTGTCGTGAGTGAACCCTGTGTGTGTGGGTGGGCCCACCAGGCCACCATGGTGGGCTGGATCCGGTGGGCTCAACCACCTGGTGGTTTTCTCACAAGGTACAACCATAGATATTCCTACAACCCTTTGTTAAAAAAAATAAAAAATAAAAATAAAAATGCAACCCAATTTCAATTAAAACAATACCAATATGTATACATATTCTTTTTCAGATTTTGTCGAGAGAGAGAGAGAGAGGGAGAGATAAATAGATAGATAGATAGATAGATAGATAGA